GGGGGGGGGGATAACCAAAACTAGCAAGTACAACCCCTCCAATATTTATACCATGGTTAATGGAACCTCGAATCAGGCTATTAACTAATTTTTTGATTCGCGCCTTTGCCGCTTTTATAAGCACTAACTCCACGTACGAACAGAACGGAGCAGCAATCAGCACAATATGACTGAAGCATCCCGCGAATAACCGTATACTCTGTGGGCGTTCACCAGCGCGCTCGAGAAGTGTGATAAGATTTGCGCGAGCCATTCTTATCGCGAAGCTGATGGTCAAATATGTGATCTACTTGAATTATTTAGAGAAACAGCCACTTTAAAATGCTATGGAGAAAGTCTACCAGTATCTAAAAAAGGCAAATAAACTAAAAAGACTGATGAAAAGATGAGAAAACAGTCTTGAACCAGCACTAACATATGTTAAAATCTTTTTAATAGGGGTGCAACGGATCGTGGATGATCCGTGATCAGTACGGACCAGGCCCCACGGTTCGGCACACATGTGATTCGCGGATTAACTGTTAAGTTTAACCATCATAGAGTGAAAGTTTATCATTTGCACATGTTTTGTCTTGCCAATTTACACATTCAAGCAATTTTAACTCACGTGCTGTTTTCTATGCGCTCAGCCACTGCCGCAAACACCCGAAGCACACACACGCAGAGAGAGAGACACCGTGTGAACAGCGAATTGATTCCTCTTTCACATACACACAAAGTTATGTTAAAATACCCGTTTTGGCGAGTACTGTAGTAAACACAGTCGGTTACGTCTTAAATGGACGTAAACAGCTGCGAAAGAAACCGGATGTGTGTCAGTATTAGGTCCGTGCATTTGGTCTTAAAGAGACAGCAGCCAATAAATACCTGCTTCTGTCTGCTAATCAAATAACACCACATCTTTAACAGAGATTAATCTGTATTTAACTTGTGTGTTGAGCACTATTGTGTAATTTTACACTTAATTATTACATTTCTGCACCTGAATACTACTGTTACTGAATTTATTTGTAACTGTTATGTTGTATTCATCTAATTTGTGTAATTGTTCTTGTTTTTTTACTCACTTTATTAGTTAAGATAGTAGTTTTTGCTGTGGTATAGTACATAAAATAAGCTTTCAGAATTTTTTTTTGCTGATCCGAAAAATGATCCGATCCGTTTCTCAAAATCCGTAATATGATCCGAACCGTGAGTTTTGTGATCCGTTGCACCACTACTTTTTAAACTACTCTTGACCACCTTTACTAGAATGTATCACGTTTTTTTGTAGGCTTATTTATTGTGTAAAATTTTGTCTAACTTTTTGTAGAATTTATAATAAATAATCTGTTAAGGGAATAGATTTCTCCTATATATTTATATTACAACTGTGGCATGTTGTAGCTATTGGTTCTAAATGTGCCGGTGATTGTTTCTTCATAACAAATGCTATATTGATTAATTAAAGAAAAAGTCATTATTGGCCTGGTAATGATTAATAGGCTAGTCTTATTATAACAAATGATATACAGTCAAGAACTATGGTACATGGCCTTCAGATACTCCAAAAGATGGCATAGATTAAATCATTAAGGAGTCTTGATTTCAAGACATAATCAATATAATAGATAATCAAGAAGTCTTGATTAAATCTGTTAAGGAGTGAGAAATAAACAATATCAATATAAGAACATGTTAAGTTAGATTGACTTCCCATGGCATGTTGATTTAGAACATTGTCAAACTATAGCCTATAAGTGCCTAAATAATATAAAATACATTACATATATATATATATATATATATATATAGAGTTGGGGTACTCGGACTTGAGTCCGGTCTCGAGTACAATTTTTTAAAGGACTCGAACTT